GTGACTCGGCAGCCATTTAATTATTTTAATTAGCCTTAATTAGTGGCAAATTTACAATGATATGCTTGATACCTGGCATTAAATCTTTCATGCATAAATGTTTTGTTAAAATGAGGGTTGGGTGGGGGGAGAAGAGAGAGAGAGACAAGTGGCTCCTTGCCAGCAATTAGTGCTGAATGCTCTAACGAAGGATTACGGCTTGGCTATGATTCATTATGACAGGCTTTGCAAAAAAAAAAAAAAAAGAGAGAGAGAAACAAGTTGATAGATTTTTTAAAAAACAAGAAAGCATATCTGCATTTCTTTTTTCTTTTTGCCTGCATGCATTCTTGTGGATTTAGGACAGCTTAATTTCAAACAAGGAGGCGCTAACTGCTGTACTGTGTTTGGGATTACGTTCTTGGTGGCACAAAATATTAGCATGGAAAGGTGATCAAGGAGGACACACCAGCCCTGGACTGTTCCTAACTCTCACCCAGTTTCTCTGCCTATAACTTTCAATGGGCTTACTCTCTGTAGGACTAATGTTGGCAAAAAACCCGACAACCCTCCTTTGGCCGGGCTTCAAACGCAGGTTAGCGGCATTCAATATCCAATCAAGTAAGTCTGTAGATCACCTGTTGTGAAAGGGCCAGAATGGGAATGTGGGCAGGAGGCAAATATTGTCTACTGTTATCTGGTGGGGGTGGGTGGGAGGAAATCCAACAAGATTTTTAATTTTTAATTTATTTTCCACCATTTCTTTACTGCTTGACTGCAGACCCACCAAGTATCCCTATTTTCCAGGGACAGTCCCATCCTGGAATTACAGAAGCCAGTTTCTGATTTGATCCTGGAATTTGGTTTGATTCCTTAGGACATCCCTATTTTCATCGGAGAAATGTTGGAGGGTATGGAGTTATGCAACCACCAAGCTAAGGAGATAAGTATCTATACAACCTTAAGAAGACATCTGAAGGCAGTCCTGTTTAATGTTTCATTATGTTCTTATATATGTTGGAAGCCACCCAGAGTGGCTGGGGCAGGGTATAAAATAATAAAGTTGTTGTTGTTATGGAATATGATGTCCCTATTTTCATTGGAGAAATGTTGCAGGGTATGTGCCTAGACTTGCATTCAGACGGAAGGCCAGATCCTGCAACCTTGTGCGACCTCTTGCTCATGTCTTGCAGTAGAAATGATGGGGCAACTTATTTAAAGGGACACTTAGCTCTCGGCATGGGGACAGAATGGGGATTTTTATTTTCTGTTGGTGCCTTCCAGAAACCAGCAATCAGTCTGTGGAGAAAGCTTACAGGAGCTCATTTCTCCCTGCCTGTGGTTGCCTAGCAGTTCAGTCGAAATATATTAAGAAGGAAGATCCTGTTTTGCACCACCCGGGCGCCCTCTGCTTCCTCATTAGCGGCTAAGAAATAGGAGATTGTGAACTGAAATGCACCTGGCCAGCTGCTTGGGGGGGGGGAGTGCGGAAACACAAGCCTCATTTGCATTTTTAACCCCAGATGAAGAAGGCGGTTGGAAAATCCAAAACGTAAGCAACAGCGAAGCATAGCAGGGAGAAAATACGTTGAGCAAAACCCGGTGCATTGGCCAGTGTGAGGAAACCACAGCTCTAAATGAGAAGCGAAATCAACCCCAGCAGTGTCAGAGGTGCAGCGGTCTAATGTTTCAATTAGAAACTCTCCAAAGTTCACCCAGAGATCCATGTTTACGTCTCTCTGGCCGCAGTCGATGAGGCAATGAGGTGCTCTGCTCTGCACGGTCCATCGATCTCCCGTCTCCCACGATGGTGGGGAAACAACCGGAGGTCAATAAGCAACACGAGGCAAAAGGCACAGCTGTCAGATCAGGCTTCCTGAAGCATTTCCTTTTCACATCCGTGGCCCAGTCGATGCCCCAAATCGAACAATTTTGTGGGAAGGAAGTGTGTACTTAGAAAAGGCAACTGCTGGAGCATGTGGAGGTGAAAGCTATGAACACAGGGCAGACCTCCTCTGCAGGGTTTGTGACATGATTTTGAAGTTCTTTCTTTCCTTAGTTATCTGTCCCTGTGCTGCAGGATCAGGCTCTTAGCTAGCTTCTGACTGGAGCCTTGTGATATCTGCCAACCCCTCACTTAAATCTGAATTCCCAGCTCTGGACTGCAAAGGCCTTCAAAACAGGAGACTGCTTCAGAGAAAGGGCTGCAAAGCAAGACACCTGTCTCCTTGCCCCTAGTTTATCATCTACGAGAAACAGAATGTTCATGTTATATTAGGGATCTGATCCAAAATAAGTTGAGGATTAAAAATAGCAGAAAGTTTGGATTTCCTTTTCCAGCTCAGACATCCCTGAGGTGTATCCAGCAGGAGTCATGATCAGAGCAGGCCCTGATGAACCGAAACGGATGGATTTCCATAGGCCTGCTGTGATGCAGTTGGATGCAAGTAAATAATCAAACAGATTATCTGGCACTGAGAACCTTTCTGCACTCCAGCTTGCTCACCACCAGATCTCAAGGCTGCCTGTTTTCTGTCTTCTGATCACCAAGGCTGGCTCAAGAGATTTTGCTGCCTGAGGCGAAGGACAAGACGGTGTCCTCTACCAAGGCACATATGGAAGCCAAGTGAAGGAGCAGTTGAACCTTACTCCAATACTGGTGAAATGAAAGTATCTTCCATGGCAGCTGAGAGTAGCAGGCTAGTATAAAGGGTACAGGGTAGGCCACATGGCACTCACAGCTCTGTCCCCTCCCCATCTGCCACCTGAGGCAGCTGCCTCATGCTTGTCTCATTATAGGACCGGCCCTGCTGAGCACTAAACATGTATTTGAACCACTGTATTTGAACACAAGGAGAGCCTGCTGGATCAGGCCAATGGCCCATCTAGTACAGCACCCTGTTCTCACAGTGGCCAACAAGGCTCCCATGGGAGACCAGGAAACAGGAGCCGAGCCCAAGAGTCCTCTCCCTTCCTGTGGTTTCCAACAACTGATATTCAGAAGCATCGCTGCCTCCAACTGTGGAGGCAGAGCAGAGCCATCATGGCTAGCAGCCATTGATAGCTTTCTCCTCCAGGAATTTGTCCGAATCTCTTTTAAAGCCATCCCTGTCTCGATTAACTCTGTGCTGCGTGAAATAGTACTTTCTTTTAACTGTCCGCAATCTTCCAGCATGCTTGGGACATCTGGAGTTATGAGAGAGGTAGAAAAACTGTTCTCTATTTTTCTATCTGCAGGCAGAACATCAAAATATAATATTCCTTGAGAACAGTGCTTTTTTCCCCTGGGGGTACGCAGGGGTATACATAGCCCTAAACATTTTGTGAATCTAAGTTTGGCCTCATTGAGGGGCAGTATTTCAATATAAGTAGGAAAATGAGACTACAGTGGTACCTTGGGTTACAGATGCTTCAGGTTACAGACGCTTCAGGTTACAGACTCTGCTAACCCAGAAATAGTACCTTGAGTTAAAAACTTTGCTTCAGGATGAGAACAGAAATCATGTGGCGGCGGGGCGGCGGCAGCGGGAGGCCCCATTAGCTAAAGTGGTACCTCAGGTTAAGAACCTTTTCAGGTTAAGAATGGACCTCCAGAATGAATTAAGTTCTTAACCCGAGGTACCACTGTACCCTTAAACTTTTTTTAAAAAAGAAAAAAAGCACTCATTGAGAATGAGTACACAGCTGTAGAGAGGGAATGGAGGATGGTCAGGCCAAAAGGGAGGGGGTCCCGCTTTGGTGTCCCCCACCCCACTCAGTCTTCCCACCCGCCATCACTGCCCCACCATCACTCCAGTACTGCACACTTATGGGCATTTCCTCCTTGTATAACTCAAGCTACTGCTCCCAAAGCAGATTCTCAACCGAAATCTTTAGTTGTGATCGCTAGAAGCATTAGTGCATGCTGACTGAGTTACACACCAACTGCTGTTATATTGTGAAAGGGCTTCTGGTAGGCAGAATAAATGGAAGCCAAGAACATGAAAGCTTTTACCTGAAGGCTCTTTTTGATGTTGTTGCTAAGCAGAGCAAGATGAAAGTGAAGCCTGCCTCTCTCCCTCCCTCTCTCTCTCTCTCTCTCTCACACACACACACACACACACACACACACACACACAAACTCTTGCTGTTATTATCAGATGGCTTTGCAGTACTCTGGTAGCATTTCAAACAACAACCTTTTGGGATTGGATTTTAAAACCATGTTGTGCATTAGGTAAATTTTGACGGAATCCAGCTGGATTCTCTCATTTAAGTTCTGTCTTTGCCTATGGGCTCGTTCAGTGACTGCCTCTGATAATAATCCCCTTATCTGTGAAATGGGAGCACAATGGGCCTATCTAACAGGGCCTACTTTTCACTAAAAAGGAGCTATGTGTTTTCCAGGTTGTCATATGCAAGCAGGATTTGCAAGAAAAGGTTGCAGTGGCACATTTTGCATTGTTGGTTTTAGAGATGTATTTTATGGATATATTGAACTACTGTATGGACTGCTGCCCTGAGAGGCAACTGCTTCACCTTGACTCATTGGTGGGCCAGCTCCAAGACAGAGGACTTTCCTGATGATGGAAGTCCTGTGGACCAGAGCAACTCACCTCCCTCCCCATCCCGGCTGCCTTTGCTGATGCTGCACAGAATACCCAGGTGGGCACAGCTGGGTCAGTTCAACTCCTTGCAACTCACCCACCCAGGCCTTAGTAATAAATAATAACAGGAGCTGGCAACCTGCTAAACTGCCCAGCATAATCCATGTGGAGTTTGGAAAGGCAGCGATGCAAACTGGGTGGCTTTAATTAGGATTCCATTTAGATATAAGGAGATAAACATTTGCCTGTATACTAAATGCTGATTAGTTCCTTAAAACGTATTTGTTGAGGTCGATGGAACAACAAATAGATACGGATCAGGCCATGGTTAACTCCCAACAAGCACATGTTTGACAAACAATTAGACTTTAATATAATGCAACCAACCTGCTCCGTTGAAATTAAGCGCTTAAGCTGGTCTGCAGGAATAAATGAGGAGTGTTTAGTAAATGTCTTGGGAGGATCAGGGGTCTTTCTTTCAGAAAACAACTTGTTTTATTATCAGATCCATTCTTCCTTATTGAAAAAGCATGGCTTCAAGAACTCGTCTGTGATGCCTAAAGCCTTCGTCTCCCTCATACGTACAAACACAACAAATAATCTTATTTGTATGCCGCTTTTACACAGCCCAAACCATGCTCAAGGTGGCTTACATCTTAAAAAAATACATTTATAACATAACAAAAGTAGCCATAAGCAATAAATAAAACAAAAAATATGCAACCAGACCAACAATTTCCACACAAATCACAGGTTCTGAAATAAAGATACAAAAAACCAACAGCAGCAACCCCATAATAAAACACCCCAACCCCAAAACAACATCTTCAGTTATGCCAGTCACAGAATCATAGAATTGTAGGGTTCGGAGGGACCCCAAGGGTCATCTAGTCCAACCCCCTGCAATGCAGGAATCAGAGCTGATCACAGTCTTCCTACTTTGGTGGAGGAAAGAAGGGCTGCATCCAAGCAACATCCATCAGACTCCTGAACTGGTTTTTCTTCCCCCATCTCCTCTGTGAGGGATCTGATTTGTTGGCTGACTATTCCTACCACTCCAGCAAAGGCAGGAAATGAGCTGTGGCTCGGATGTCAGAGTTGCTGTCAGGGGCAACCAGGAAGCTCCCAGTGACTGATGGTGTGTGCTGAGACCTCAGAGACCTCGGCTGTTTCGAGACGGGTGTTATTGTGGACCAGCTGCTCCTCATGCAGGCTCGTTTTTCCACAGCAAGCCCAACTGTATTGTCAGCATACAAGTCCCAGCCTCCGCCCCCAAACCCCACCGTCCAGTATTCCAAATGCAGCCACGGAATTGTAGAATTGGAAGGTACCACACAAGGATCATCTAGTGCAAGCCCCTTCAGTGCAGAAATCTTTCCCTACGACTTCGGACTAAAACCCACAACCCTGTGATTATGCGTCTCCTGCTTACTGACTGGATTTGTATAAACAGGTTGCTGTTTTCCTTACCGGATCAGAACCCTCCTTTCCTTGGCTGGTCTGAGTTTCTCAGTGTCTGCCTTCTCCAAGGAGTATTTTGTGTGTGCCGTTTAAGTCACAAGAACATCAGAAGTGCCCATGGATCAGGCCCATGGTCCATCTGGTCCAGCTTCTTGTCTTCACAGTGGCCACCCAGATCCCTCCATGGGAAACCCAGAGCCCTCTCCCCTCCTTTGGTTTCCAGCAACCAATATTCAGATGACCGTGGAGGCCGAGAGCATAGCCAACATGGCTAGTAGCCACCCATAGGCCTCTCCTCTACGAATTCATCTAAATCTCTGCCTGCGCTGGAGGAGAGCCCATCCCCGCGCTGGCTCTTGAAATGGGATGCAGGCCTCTGCGAACAAAGGCCCCTCTTCATCCCTTTTCGGCCTCCCTCCCTCAGTATGAAGGTCAGGGGAAAGGCTGACTTATAAAGGCATAAACAAACCGTGCAGAAATGCTTATGGTAATTCCACTTCTCTTCAGAAATATCAGCTCCCCCCCCCTCTCCTTTTTTTTTTGAAATCTGCTTTAAATGGTTTCCCTTCTAATGAAAACCCGCATGTAATCTGTTAGCAAGGGATGTCTGCCGGCCCATGAATTATTCAGCAGGCCCTCTGTTCCGTTATCTGGCGTCTCTTGAGATTCCCCCTCCATTGTCCGCCATGATGGGTCATTATGCACTCGGTGGATTTAATCTTTTAGGCTATCCAGCAGCACAGGGGGAGCAGGCGGAGGGGGTGGGGCGGGGGGGGAATGTATGAATAACAATTTCCCTGTAATAACCTTCAACTAACCTTTCAACCAGAGTGAGTAATTCCAATCCTATTTTCACATCAATGGCAGAGTCAAAGCCAGGCAATTATCTCTTATCTGTTCCACCACTGTCTCTCCCCCCCCCCCCTTTAATTTTGAAGAAGAAGGAGAGGAGGGGGGGGGATGATGTTAAAGTACTTGCTGGAGTCAAGAAGAAGAAAAGGGAGCAGAGCAAAGTGGCGGGGAGAAGGCTTGATTAACAACTTCGATAGGCAGGGATTTTAGGCAATTATTTGCCCTCTCTCCTCCCCCTCCCCTGTTGCAGCTTCATTCCTGGTCAGCTGTGTCCCACCTGTTTCCTGTCCTGCCCTTACAATTTATCCCACTTAGTGGACCTTTTGACTTGGCCAGAAGATGCTAGCAATGAGGGATGTGGGAGGAAGACTGCCCTGATCCTGTTATAAGGTAGCTCTATCATATTTGCAAAAGGACGCGGGTGGTGCTGTGGGTTAAAGCACAAAGTCTAGGACCTGCCGATCAGAAGGTCGGGAGTTCGAATCCCCGCGATGGGGCGAGCTGCCGTTGCTCAGTCCCAGCTCCTGCCAACCTAGCAGTTCGCAAGCACATCAAAGTGCAAGTAGATAAATAGGTACCGCTCCGGCGGGAAGGTAAATGGCGTTTCCGTGCGTTGCTCTGGTTCGCCAGAAGCGGTTTGTCATGCTGGCCACATGACCCGGAAGCTGTACGCCGGCTCCCTCGGCCAGTAAAGCGAGATGAATGCCACAACCCCAGAGTCGTCCATGACTGGACCTAATGGTCAGGGGTCCCTTTACCTTTACCATATTTGCACTTCTTGCTTATTTCATAGAATTGTAGAGTTGGACAGGGACCTTGAGGGATAACTAGTCCACCCCCCCACCCTGCAATACAGGAATCTCAGCTAAAGCCTCCCAGACAGATGGCCATCCAACTTCTGCTTAAAAACCTCCAAGGAAGGTAATTCCATCACCTTCTGAGGGAGTCAAACTGCTCTGACCCTCAGAAAGCTCATCACACACTTCAAAATGCACGAACAATTGGTGGGTCAATTGTGTTTTGGCCCCCTCAAGCCTAGTTGCCTGCTTAAATGCTTCTATTATTTGGAAGCTGAAGAAGCCATGGTGAAGAGAAGGTCCCAAAAGATGTCTCCTCTTTGTAGACCCGTGCCTGGAGTTGATCAAATCAAGGGTTGAATTTAGATTCTAGATTGCTTCATAAGATTGTCGTTGGAGGGCCTTGCCTGTGGAGGTAAAATCACTGGCTACCAGAGAAGATCGTTGGCTTCTGTGCCTCAAATATAAAATTCCCTCCCAATGGAGATCTTCCTGACATTTTGCCATGAACTTTTAGAGCCAAAGTTTGCCTTGTTTATTTAGCCTTTGAGTGGGTTGATTTAATGTGATTGGGGTTTGTTTGTTTATCGTTTGTTTATTTATTTTATTTATATTTCACCATTTCCTCCATGCAGCTGAAGGCGGTACACATGGTTCTCTGCCCTCCCCACTGATTCCCACAACAACCCAGTGAGGTAGGTTTGGCTGAGAGGCAGTAACTGGCCCTAGGTCCCACTGCAAGCTTCAATAAAAATAAAATAAAATCCATAAAAATCCATAACTAACTCAGATTCTGCCCCCCTCCTAAGGAAAGGCTTGCTGGCCCTAACAAAAGGCTTGCCCCCCCCCCCAATCCTGGCTATGCCCATGCATGGCTGAGTGGGGATTCAAACTCTGGTTTCTCAGGTCCTAGTCCAAAACTCTAACTTGAATGTTGCTACTTGAAGCAACACTTCAAGGCAACTACCTTTGAAATCAGCATGTCTCCTAATTTTGAGGTGCAGTTATCCAATTAAAACAGGTGTTCAAAAGTGCATGCATGCCTAAAATGCATCTATTGGTGAAATTTACATGGAAACGTGCATTATATTAGAGAAAAATGCTTGGGGAAAGTATGTATATTAGGGGAAATGCAGACTGAAACACTAACCTTTTAAAAGTTAAGGTGTATAACAGTTAAGTAAGTTGGAGGAATAAATTATGTTTACCACTATTACTCATTTATGCATGTTCTATTTTTATGCTATGCCTTATTAGTACCTTATGTATGAGTGCAACACAGTACGCGTTGATGATGTGATATAATAGGAAAGCAAATAAATAAATGAATAAAAAGAATGATCAAATTGGTGTAAAAATGTGGCAAGCTGAGCTTAAGATTCTAATGATGTGAAACTGAGCGAAACCAGCTGAGATTCCTGCATTGAAGAGGGTTGAACTAGATGACCCTTGGAGTTCCTTCCCAGCTCTATAGCTCTTATGATTCTACTATTCTAGGGTTAAATTCAGGAAATCCAGTCGTGGTCCTCCCGTGTAACATGTAGCTTTGCCCTTGGATCAAACAGACGCTTTCCGCTTTGCCAGCTGGCAGTCTGTCACAGACCGGATAAATGTGAGCTATTGTCCAGGCACATTTTACAAGGCCATAAAGAAAAAGAAAAACAGAAGTGGAGCTCAGAAAGGAACCCAACACAAGACCCATTGAAATCCATGTGTGTGTGTCTGAGTCTCATTTGGCAGCGAAGGGAACGTCCGCTTCTTGAAACACTCCCTCCAAGGTAGCCTTCCAGAGAGTCAGATTTCAGATAAAGTGACCCCTTCCTTGAAGACTTTTTGCACTTCTCAGACGTTTGGAGGAAGCCGTTCTGGGTTGGTTCACACGCAATGTTTAATGGCTTTCTTAACTCCAGAGAGCGGATGTCTACTTGTGTGGGAGCTGGGCAGTCTGGGAAGAGGAGGCAGGCCTCAGATCTCAGCCAGAGCAACTCCTGGAACCTCCAACACATGTATATTTTTTCTGCACCAGAGATTGAGAAACTTGCTGTGCTTTTGGTGCTCTGAGATCCTATCTCATGCAACGCACTCCTTGGGACTTGGCCAACTCTCAGGTGTTGAAAAAGCAGCGGAGAGTAATGTGAAGAACTCGTGTGTGTGTGTGTGCCAACATTTTGCACATACCATGTACCCTCAAAGGGGAAGTATTAAAAGTACACCGAGTGAGTGACTCCTGCACAGCCAAGTAGTGCTCTGCATCTTTTGAAAACCACAGAAACACTGATTAAAAAAAAAGGGGGGGGAGCAAGATATGAATAGTGTTTGTTGGCAAGGGAGGAGGAAGTCAACTCAAACCACAGAGAGAGAAGTTTTGATACAGTTCTAGTTTCCAGTTCAGTGCAATGTATTCATTTAAAACCAGAGGTCATTGCAAGGTTCAAGTTTTTAAAGACCTCCCCCAGAGCATAACAAAATACAGCTTTCCCAAGGAAAATACAGGTTTTCCATGAAGGATGGGGCAGGAATTGGATCTGTTAGGCCCTTTTGTTCTCCTTTCCAAAAGGAGATGAGTTTCTTAATTGTTAAATTAGTGGAAGGAAACAAAAAGCTTTGGGTTTTTCTTTTTAATGGATTCTCTGTTGCCTGTTCTTCTGCAGTGCCTGACACATCTGAACTCATAACCAAACCATAAATCTGGATTAAGATTCAACCTTTGCATTCATGTCCAACAATGCACTGTGACCAGTAACCTCCTCCTTCTCCCCACCATGGGGAACAATATTATGCATTTGTAGATCCGTCTCTGAATTCCAAGGCAGAGCAAAAGAAGAGTCTGGCCAAGGCATTGTCCAGACACTCTTCGCTTTCTACTTTTGTTACCAAGTGGAGTTACATGTCGTATTTCAAAGGTGGTCTTGACTGTTTCCTTCCAAGTCTCTTACTGGGAAACTGGGAAAGAGCCAAGACATAGTTGGGCTTGCCCTGCAGCTCTGAGCTCCTCTTCACAGGAAGTGATGTCAGTGCCCTTCTAGTCTTGTGTCTCTATGCCCTGGATGCAGCCCTGTGATACGGCAGCAAAAAAAGCTAATGCAATTCTAAGCTGTATCAACAATAGTCTAGCGTCCCATTCAAGGGAAGTAATGGTACCACTCTTTTCTGCCTTGGTCAGACCCCACTTGGAGTCCTATGTCCAGTTATGGGCACTACAGCTGAAGAAGGGTGTTGACAAGCTGGAACGTGCACCAAGGAGGGACAACCAAGATAATCAAGGGTCTGAAAACCAAACCAGTGAGGAACAGTTGAGTGAGTTGGGTACGACTAGCCTGGAAGAGAAGACCGAGAGGTGAAATGATAGCTGACTTAAAATATCTGAAGGGTTGTCACATGGAAGATGGAGCAAGCTTGCTTTCTGCTGCTCCAGAGGGGAAGACCTGAACCAATGGATTCAAACGACAAAGGAGAGTCCAACTAAACCTTTGGAATAACTGTTTGATGACAAGAGCTGTTTGATAGTGGAATGGACTCCATTGGGAGGTTGTGGACCCTCCTTCAGCAGAGTTTTTTGCCCTCTGCCATGGATTCTTTAGCTAGGCCTCCTGCCTTTCAGGGAGTTGGACCTGATGAGCCTTGGTGTCCCTTTCAGCTCTACAATTCTAGGATTCTATGTTCTTCATGGGACACGGGTGGCGTTGTGGTTTAAACTTGCCGATTGGAAGATTGGCGGTTCAAGACCCCATGACGGGGTGAGCTCCTGTTGTTCGGTCCCTGCTCCTGCCAACCTAGCAGTTTGAAAGCACGCAGTGCAAGTAGATAAATAGGTACCACGCCGGCAGGAAGGTAAATGGCATTTCCGTGCGCTGCTCTGGTTCGCCAGAAGCGGCTTAGTCATGCTGGCCACATGACCCAGAAAAACTGTCTGCAGAAGCGGACAAACACTGGCTCCCTTGGCCTGTAAAGCGAGATGAGCACCGCAAACCCAGAATCGTTCGTGATTGGACTTTACTGTCAGGGGTCTTTATGTTCCCTTTATGTTCTTCATCATGAACTAAATCATCTGTGAAATTCTCCCACGGAAATCCAACAGGTTCAGCTTCAGTTGTTGAACAACACAGAGCAACCTTAGGAGTGCGGTATGGATTTCACCTCCTTTTCAATGGGAGCCCCACATGGGAGAATTGCCTGGGAGTTTTCACCCCCTGTTACTTTGCATCCAAGTGATTGCCCCAGTCAGTTTTAAGCTATCTGAGCACATAGAGTCCCTCCCGGCAGGGATTTCTGCTCAGAGAACAAATTGTATAAATGCATTTAACAACTGAACAGGGCAGACGGTGAGGAATTCTCCACAAAAGCTCTGGGACTCAGAGTCTTGTTTGTATTAAGGAACATGCTATGCAAATCCGGCAGCTATCTGGAGCCATAAATAGCTGCAGAGATGAATTTAATATCTCTGTGTGGTGGCGGCGGCAGCCGCGACAATGATCAAATGAAGTCCAGACGAAACCGTTCAGCGCTGTTTACACTGGGAGTTATTGAGCACACCTCTGAGACACAAAGCGGTTGTGTGTGTCTCTCCTCCTTGCCCCGCCCTTTGTGGAAAATCAGCCGGGCTGTTGGCAAGATGGAATCCAACTTGGACTTTTGTGGAGCGACAAAGAGAGAGAGAGAGAAAGGAGGTGAATCAGGAGCTTAATTAGCAAAAGCTGTTTACTGAATATCCAATAAATTAAAATGCATGGAACATGTATTTTAATGAAGGCTCCTTAGGAGAATCCAGTTTTTCCTGGCTAATCTCAGTGTCACTTCCAGCCGGCCAACCACTTCCCCATAAGAGCAACACCCCAAAAGTTGGTCTTGTTTGAAAGGAAAAGAGTCACACTGCATTACAAGGGGTTGGACTAGATGACCCTATGGGTCCCTTACAAAAGATCCTGTCATTCTATGCTTTTTTAGCACCTGCAGCCCCCAAAACACATTGGCTTGAACTTCCCCAAATGCAACAGGACAGCCTTCCCCCGCCCTGCCGCCCTACAGGTATGCTGTCATTTATTTATTTATTGCATTTATATCCTGCCTTTCCCCCCCTCCAAGTAACTCGAGGTGGTGTACGTGGTTCTCCCTCTCCTCATTTAATCTGCACAACAACCCTGTGAGGTAGGCTAGGCTGAGAGACAGTGACTGGCCTAGTGAGTTTTGTGACTGAGTGGGGATCTGAACTCTGGTCTTCCAATTCCAGGTCGAGCAACTCTAACCACTACACTACACAGAAGTACTGATTTTTGTAGCACATCTGCTCCCATGCTGGCTGGGGGTGATGGGAATTGCAGTCCAGAACAGCCAAAGGATGCTAGGAGATGGGGGAGTCTAAACTAAGAGGGGGGAACGCCAGCTGCACAGAGACCATTTTCTCATGCAGGGAAGCACAAAGATTAGAAAGGTGTTTCAATGACAGCCCTTGCCCTTCCAAGATCATAGAGCCTTGCCTAGCTGAGGCAGAGTGGGGCAAGACCAAGGAATGCAGTGATGGCACCCTCTGCAGGAGCATGTGGTCCCAGTGCCTGCAGCACCCCTGTCCTCGCGAGAGTGGTCTGCCACAGAGGGGTCCTGCACTGTGCAACCTCACAAGGCTGTGATGCTAATCTGAGGAATGCAATCCCTACGAGAAGGGCCCCCAATGGTCATCTTGTCAAACCCTCTGCCAGGGCCAATTCTAGAGCCAAATTTATTGAAGGACTTGTGTTCCTAGGTTCTTGCATGTCCCCTTTAAGATTTATTGACCAGTCTGAAACAGGAAGTAGAGGGGACAATTCATCTTGTATCAGCTTAATCGACTCTGTTTTGCTCTCCCGAAGGAAAAACTGTGTGATTTTACTTTGTTTTCTCCGAAGTTCAGGAGAGCTACTTGTAAAATTTTGCGTAATTCTCAGGGCTTTACATGCCTTCCTTGTGTACGCCGCACTGGTCAACCACTTGGACAGAGAATGGAGCAAAGCCTTCAGCTTGCACAGAGTCCCACACCCAATGGAGAGGGGCTGTTAATTCTTGCTTTTCTTTTCCTTCTCACCTTATCAATAAAACACTGACTCACCCCCCCTTTTTCTCATCCCAGTGCTTCCTATTAAAATCAAGCCTTTTGTGTGAAACATAAGGACTAGAAACTTGATTTAAAACTAAGGGAAGTCTTTTGGCCCCATGGCAGAACGTTGGAGGCAGCAATGTGTCTGAATACCAGTTGCTACAAACTGCAAGAGGAGAGAAGGCTTTTGGGCTCAGGACGTGCTTGTGGTTGATGGGCCACTGGCCTGATTCATCAGGATCTTCTGATGTTCTTCCCTGTGCAAGAATCTTATTACTGACTCCTCCTGGGGTGTTTGTGCAGGAGGCCCAGTCCTGGAGACCATCGACGCTTTCTAGGAGAGGCCAGCTGCGAGGGTCATCCATGAGAAGTCCTGACAAAGCACTTCCTACAGCCCAACACACCTTCAATGCACCGTAAGTGATTAAAGGGGGGGGGGGCAATTCACCGTCATGCTGCTTGCCCTGAAGTGCAGCGCCCCTCCCACCCTCGCACGGCTGTCCCGGCGCAAAAATCTGCAATCGAGCCAGGATTTGGAATGAGCTGCCAGTACATTGCAGCAGAGCAGATGGCGGGCGCTCAGAAGTGTTTGAAAAGCCTCATTTGATTATACATGAACGCCGCGTCTCTCGCAGGCCCGAGCTGATATTTCCATTAAGCACGCTCCGCAAAGCATTACAGCCCCGTAGCTGCCGTCTCCTTCCGCACGGATGCCTTACTGCACTCGTCGGCCTCTTATCCTTGCCTGCCTTTTATCATGGCTTCCACCACGGCACTTAATGGCCCGCCGGCCATTGGGTGGGTGTTTCTAAGGATCACGACCGATACTTTTGTTGGGAGATTCAGGGCAGATAAAGTAAAGGACCTTCTTCACACAGCGTGTGGTTAAACTGTGGAACTCCCTACCTGTGGGCAGTCCCTCCATAGGTGGGGTAAGCTGCCTCTTTTTCCACAGCCTCTCCAACAAGTCTGAGAAGATTATGAAGATTGCTAGATAGGCCAGTGACCTGGTCCAGCAGGCTTGTTTTATGTCCTTATGTGATGTCATATGAAAAAGTTGCACTGATGGCGATTTGCCCAGCTGCTTTCCCTGCCAACACACCACCACAACAATTCCTATCTGGGGTTATCTAGCCCCTTGGGGTGGATTCAGATGAGCCGCAAGGTCTGAACTGGTGAAAAGTGGTTATGTGAATCCACTGACATCCGACGACAGCATGGTGGGATCTCAGCCAGCTCCATTCTTCGGAGGACCACAATGCTTCACTCCAGAACCCTGCATCAAGGATGGAGCCAGAGCGAACGGCTGGGTCACAGAGGATGACATCTATATTGTCATTTCCATGGACTCAGGCCACTTATGAGCGTTATAACTTGATATGTGTTCTGCGAGCCCGGTAGACTTGTTAAAAGAGAAAACCTGCAGACTTTGCTGAGAACAATTCAAGATGACTGCATTTGCCAGAACGAGACCCAGACTGAATAAGTGGGAATGCAATAATGTCTAAGGCTGGAGCTATCCTCTGGGTCACCGTTAAAAGGTTCTGGCAGACTTGCAAGGAGGCCGAGGGCACGGGGCACAAAACTCTGTATTACAACTCAGGAAAATATAATAAGAGGGTAATAAACCAGACCAAGAGTTCCAGAAGTGTGATTTAATTTCTCTCTCTCTAATTTTCTTGCTGCCACCAAGATAAACAACTTAAATTAGATGAGGGGCTCATGGAGATGGACCGTGTGCCCTTCCCTGGCAGGAAGAGGCTTTATAATGCCACAGGGTGAAATCTAATCACAACAGCTCCGCGGGGGATTGTTCCTTATGTGTTGCCAGGCTGCAGTGGGAAGCTCAGCTTGCGGGGTTTTTTAAAAAAATCCAGTTCTCTCTTCCTTTGGCAAATCTGCTGGAAGTGCTTGGTCACTTTGCCTGGAACATTGATGAGAGCTCGGTTGCAACACCTCTGAAGGCAAAGTATTTGCATAAAATTGGCATTTATGAATTTATACAGATGCAAAGCAAATTTAGATATAATTGTTCTAAGTTAAACAGAGAAACAATACAACTCTTTATGGGGTGGGGAAGGCTGGAAGTGGGATGAGGCAGCGGTGTGCCCACTGAGTGTGCTGACCAGGTGCATCTACTCCTGATGGGCAACTTAAGAAAATAAGAAGAGCCCACTGGATCAATGGCCCATCAAGTCCAGCATCCTGTTCTCACAGTGGCCAACCAACTGCCTCAATGGGATGCCCATAAGCAGGATTCAAGCACGACAGCCCACTTCTTTCCCGTGGCTTCCAGAAACTGGTATTTGTAAGCATTGCTGCCTCCAGCCTTAGAGGGAAACATTAGTCATCTTGGCTAAAGGTAAAGGTAAAGGGACCCGTGACCATTAGGTCCAGTCGTGACCGATTCTGGGGTTGCGGTGCTCATCTCGCTTTATTGGCTGAGGGAGCCAGCATACAGTTTCCAGCTCATGTGGCCAGCATGACTAAGCCGCTTCTGGAAAACCAGAGCAGCGCACGGAAACACCGTTTACCTTCACGATAGAGGGGTACCTATTTATCTACTTGCACTTTGACGTGCTTTCGAACGGCTGGGTTAGCAGGAGCAGGGACCGAGCAACAGGAGCTCACCCCGTCGTGGGGATTCGAACCGCCGACCTTCTGATCAGCAAGTCCTAGGCTCTTTGGTTTAACCCATAGCGCCACCCACGTCCCTTGTCATCTTGGCTAGCAGCCATCAAATTCTACATGAATTTGTCTCATCCTCTTCTAAGCCTTCTAGGTTGGTGGCCATCACCGCCTCCTGTGGGAGGGAGTTCCACAGTTTAACCATGCGCTGCGTGAAGTACTTCAACCCACCCGCCCCTTAAACTGGGCTTGGGCTGGGCAAGCCCTTCTGATGGATGACTCCATTGAACAAAGAACTGTCCTCTGTAAAGTGCAATATGTGGCCACCCTCTCTCCCTCTGTGGGAGAAATCTGACCTTTTCACACTGTCACAGATGCACACTTTGCAATTGCAGCCTTGTTTGGTGCATGGTGACCATGTCACACGAACAGCTCACTGCAGACCTGGAAGCAGCAATGCACTCAGACCCAAAGCATCCATCAGGTGCCTGGCAGGGCTGCCAACAGGATTTCCTGGCCCGCCACATCACCTGTAATTTATCGGCAAGAACAACTGTGCCACCTGCTTCTGTGGGGCGTGGTTCAATGATAGCATATCCTTTGATGCAGGGTATCTCTGGTTCATAAGAACGTAAGACAAGCCCGTCTAGTCCAGCATCCTCTTCTCACAGTGGCCAACCAGGTGCCTATTATGGGAAACCCGCAAACAGGACCCGAGCCCAAGAGCCCTCTCCCCTCCTGTGGTTTCCAGCAACTGGCATTCAGAAGCATCACTGTCTCCAACTGTGGAGACAGAGCAGAGCCATCATGGCTAGTGGCCATTGATACCTCTCTCTCCTCCTTGGTATCTCCAGGTAGGAAAGACCCTCACCTGAAATCCTTTAGAGCCACAGCCAGCCAGTGTCACCAGTGCTGAGCTAGATGGACCAATAGTCTCTGTGCAAGGCAGTTTCCTATGTTCCTATAGGCTCCCAGAGGACAGGGAGGGGTGGCCTGGCTCCTGCTTAAAGGAGCACCTGGGTAGATAATGGCCACCTGCTGGCTCTGGTGATGAAGAGCTTTGCGGATGATCTCCTCTGCACGTGGCTGGGCTTCCGAGTCTCTCTCTCCGCTTCGGCTTTTCAATTAAAATCGTATCTGATCCTTTCCAGGGTCCTCGCTATTATTTTATGTATTGATTTCCTTCATTTCAGTTTATTACCTGCTGCTCCCACCAGCGCCCAGGGCCAATTAGAACCGTTACAAGCAGCATGAAAAATACCCGTGAATAAAACAACCGGGAGACTAAAAGTATCCGCGAGGTCCCATTTAACTATCTGTTGTTAAAATGATTGCGGGGAGAGAACGGGGGGGGGGGGGCTTCTGAGGTGTAGCCCTGGGGAGCGCTTGTTCTTCCTGATTAATAACACAAAGCACAGTTTGCAAATCTTGGGCTGCAGCTTTGCTGACCAGTGTGGAGCAAAGCCACCCTCCTTCACACTCCATGGCAATATATCAGCTGTTGATCGGACAGACATCTTGGGAACAGATGACGTTGCCGCTGCAACAATCCTTGTTTGGATTCCTGATCTTCCCGCAGTGATCACCCAGAGGAAACCTCCCATGGATTCCTCTGACATTCCCTCTCTTTCACCTCTTTTGCTATTTGCCATCGAACTGGACAAAGAGAGGCCTAATTAGCTGCAACCTACTGGTGATAATTTATCATCCGGAATTACTCTCTGTTGCAAAGGCTGCCTATGTGGGGTGGGGTGGGGGGTGTTTTTCCACAGTGTGGTGTGTGTGTGTGTGTTTGTGTGTGTGTGTGTGTTTTAACATTCCAAAAGGATTCTCGTCATCTGCCAGCAGCACGAACAATCTGTAAAGTAATGAGGTGCCACTGATGATCTTAGAGGCAGATCGAGACAAAGCTGTAATTGCTCTTCCTTGCTGTTATAGCTCATTACATCAGGCCTGCCGTGGGCCTAACCAACCAACCTCTGCCTGGCTCAGCGAGACAATGCTGAGAACAGACTTCCTCAACCTGGCGCCCTCCAGGTGTTTTGGAACACGGTTGCTTCCACAGAGCAGTTCAGGGACATTTTCGTTTAGAGAAAATGTGCATAAGAGGCAATATGTTTGACATGCCTAAAACCATTCATGGCATGGAGAAAGTTGATAGAGAAAAGCTTTTTTCCCTTTCACATAACACTAAAACTTATGGACATCCAATGAAGCTAAATAACATACCCTCCGACATTTCTCCAATGAAAATAGGGACATCCTAAGGAAAAGGGATATCAAATCAGAAACTGGGATGGCTTCTCTAAATCAGGGATGTCCCTGGAAAATAGGGACACTTGGAGGGTCTGAAATAATAGAATCATTGTATTTTAGAGTTGGCAGGGACCATGGGTGTCATTTGCTAACATGGAGCTCGAACCCACAACCTTGAGATTAAGAGTCTCATGGTCTACCAACTGAGCTATCCCAGGTATGAATGTTGGGAGATCCAGAATAGATCAAAGAAGGGACTTCTTCACACAGCGTCTAGTTAAACTGTGGAACTCTCCCACAGGAGGCAGTGACAGCCATCAACTTGTGTAGCTTTAAGAGAGGATTGGACAGAGTCATGGAGCATGTGCTCTGCCTACACACGTTGCCTACACAGGAGGAGGACGTGCTCTTGTCCTTGAATCCTGCTTGCAGGTTTCCCACAGGCATCTGGTTGGCCACTGTGAGCACAGGATGCTGGAATAGATGGGTTATTGGCCTGATCCAGCAATTTCTTCTTATATTGTGGACTAAGCGAATGCAATACCATGGAAGGAGCATTTCCAGCTAACCTGCTCCTGCCTTTGGGAGCCTTATGAGAAGCTGCTGCAAGAGGAAGGCTGAGAGGAGCACTGGGGGTGGGCAGACTGCCTGAATCAGGATGCCAACAGGGCAGTGGTTCTTTGGAGAAGCTGAGGACTAGAAGCCTGGACAAACCAACGTCATCCTTGGCTAGTTTGTGGCAGACTACCGTGGGCAGACTGTGTCCCAGAGGGGAATTTTGGTTTACAGAACATTGTTTTCCCCAGAGATGAAAATTTGCCCTCATCTATGCTATACATGCCAAGGGACGTGGGTGACCCTGTGGGTTAAACCACAGAGCCTAGGACTTGCCGATCAGAAGGTTGGCAGTTTGAATCCCCGCGACGGGGTGAGCTCCCGTTGCTTGGTCCCTGCTCCTGCCAACCTAGCAATTTGAAAGCACGTCAAAGGGCAAGTAGATAAATAGGTACCAATCCAGCGGGAAGGTAAACGGCATTTCCGTGCGCTGTTCTGGTTCACCAGAAGCGTCTTAGTCATGCTGGCCACATGACCCGGAAGCTGTACGCCGGCTCCCTCGGCCAATAAAGCGAGATGAGCGCCGCAACCCCAGAGTCGGTCACAACTGGACCTAATGGTCAGGGGGTCCCTTTACCTTTATGCTATACATCTGTTGAGCTGGGCAATGTATTTAGTTGTATATTTTTAAAAGTTATATTGAAAACTAATTTCTAAAAAGGCTACAGATTTCAAACCAGTTTGAAGTTGGCTTGGCTGTCATGTGGTTTCCCCTCCCAAAAGCCCATTGGGGACTGTAGTATTCAGGAGGTGGGTGGCGTAGAATAATAGAATCCTACTATTGCACAGCTGGGAGGTACCTAAAGTGTCATCTAGTCCAACCCTCTGCAGTGCCAGAACCCCAGCTAAAGACTCTGTAGGCGTGCTCTCATGAGCTGTGCCATGGAGGGGATGAGCAGAGCACTGGTGTGTCTGTCTGCAACAACAGCACCATGATTCTTCTTTGCAAATTGCAGATTGCTGCAATTTCGAGGGGGCTTCTCTGCTCTGCGCAAACACACACACACACAGCTGGTTAACTCCAAGGCGTGCAGAGCCCAGCGCATGCCTGCCATTCCCTCCTTGCTCCGATGGGGTTTGCCCAGGCCAGCTTGGGACCAGGAGT